TTTTTATATATTTAATTCTCCTTTTTAGGGGAAAAAGGGGAGACTGTCAGAGTTAATGGTCCCCATGAGCCATTTGTGGGAGTTTTTGTTTTTTAGAGGGGAAAAGGCTCAGGGGGGCTGGTAACCAAAATTTTAAAGTCTTTGCAGGTTTTGAAAAGGAATGCATAGAAAGTGGCTTTGCTGGCTGACCAGGGGACCAGCTGAGAATAGAAAGGTGGCCTTTGGCCCTGTGGAGTTGCTATGAGTTTTGGGGGAGTGTCCGATGAATTTTGACAATATTTACAATTTGCTGGCTCTGGAAACCAAGAGCTCCAAGATTGGTTTGGCCCAAGCTCACTCCCTTGCAACCTTCAGCCACGTTTCCTGGGGCAGGAAATTTTGCTTGGGCGCCTTGTACGTGGGCAGATTCCTTGCGGTCTGCGACGGCGGAATGCCGTGACGAGACCCCTAGGCGCCGGAATTTGAAATACGGGCAGGCAGCTTGGGTTGTGAAGCAGAACAAGATTAAGCCAAACAGGAATCAACCAGGAATGGGGAGGTGTTTTTCACACACCTGGCTGCTGGCATAAAATAACCCCAACAACCCTGTGGTGCAGGATGAAGCCGACACTAGTTTTCGGGTGGAGGGTGGGAAGGCCTACAGGGAAGCTGACAGTGTCCCCTTTTTACACAATATTGACTTATTCTTTTCATAGTGCAGAACGTAGGATCTGTTGGCCATCCTTTATCTCGTCCTCTTGTTCTTTCAAACTTCTGGATGATGGCGTATATTCTGCCACCTTTTAAAAATAACCGACCCATCCAGCAATCCCACCCCAGACCGTAAATCGGAGGCCACGTCCCCACGTGCTGTTTTGCTGAGCCAACGAAGGGCAAGCAGGCAGAGCTGTGTGTACTCTCGAGAGATTCTGCACCAGCCTAGGATGAGGAGAGAATCTGGCCATGCGGGGAATCATGGAGGTTTTGAACAAGAGCGATCTGAAGCTGCTCCGGCACAACCACAGATCCAGTCTTCCACGGCCAAGGGTCTGAACTTTGGTGCCAAGAAGAACTGTGCACTCCTTCCCAAAGCAAAGAAGGAGAGGGTCCAACTATACAAATGAATAATTTCTACAGCTGTTGCCCCTTTGTTAGCAGAATGCACGAGAGTACACCCAGCTCTGCCTGTAGAGGATTGAAGAGGACCATCAAGGTTTAAAAAAACATGAACAGAAAGTCAAAAGGATGGTTTTTAGGACAGGGAGAGAGAAAGGTGTGGGGTGGAGGAAGAGGAGATTATTCTGAGGGACAGTGTATTGTTAAGATAGAACAAAAGTCTCAGAAAGTATACAAAGGTAAGGGGGGACCTTCAGAAGACCTTCTTTTTCAGAACTATCCCTAACAAAGCTTCGTGCTTCCAAAGTTTTCTCCTCCACAAAGGTCCAAGCATTGAGAACAGATGCGAAGCAAAACATCGAGGGAATAGGAAGGAGCAGAGGGGAAGAGATGGTGTGCATGTGTGTGTGTGTGCACCCACAAAAAAAAATGCCTCAGGACTCCTTTGATTCTCAGCAATCTGGCATCCATGCAGCAAAGCTGGACAAACCTGGCTATTTTTTTGTTGTTGTGTGGCTGGGGTGTGCATGTCGGCAAAGAGAGGCGTTCCCCTGCTCGACGCTCCTACTCCCAACGGTTTGAACTTGAGTAGACGAGGAAACAAAATCAGGAGTCAAATGTCTTGAAATGATTAAGGATTTCAACAAGGCAATTCGTTATTAGTATAATTATAATTCTTTTCTCTTTCTTTTTTTTCTTTTCTTTTTCGAGCATGTGTCTGTCTGCTTCATTCTGAAAAAAATAGAATATATAAAAGTAGGCAATATCTCCGGAAGATCCAGGTCAGGAGAGTTGAAGAGGTTTTGGTCCATAAGGAAATACTTTTTTTCTTTATCTTATTTTTCTCTTTACTTGAATCTGAGTAACAAAAGTTTTGGTCCAGTTTAAAAAGATGACAAAATCATATATAAACACATTAATTTGTACAGATAATATATAACTTTATTTTTCATTTTTTGCTGTCTGTAGGGTTGGTGGATTTGTTTTAAGTGGGCTTTGTTGCCAGTATTGCATTATTGTCTTTCTTAGGTTTTGGTGTAAAAATTGTCGGTTTTCTTGAAAAAAAAAATCAAAAGAGAAAGAAAGGAAGAAAAACATGTTTTCCTTCTCTCTCTTGTTTTGGGGTGTGTGTGAGGGGGCATGTGGGTCTATGTTTGCGGGTGTGTACCTTTCAAATGGCATTGGCTGGCAACCATGAAAAGCAAAATGTACAAACATGGAGGTCGACCTTCCATACTCCTCCTCACGTGGAGATCTGGAAAGGTTACGTCTGCACGTGGAGGGGGTTTTGTTTCTGTTTTGGAAATACCCTGTTAGTGACTCCTGATTCTTATTAGATGAATCCCTGCTCAAAGAGGAAAAAGAAAAAATCAACGTTCGAAAAACCTTTGCGGTGGCTCAGAAGACTCAAAATGAAAATTTAAAAATGGCCAGGAAGATTTTTCCCTAGAGGGGAGTCTCTCTCTTTCCCCTCCCGCACAAAACCCTCTCCCCCACCCCCATTTTCACTGGCTCAAATATTATTTATTTCATTTTACTTTTTTTTTTCCTTAAGAAAAAAATAGAGGAAAAAGAATATAAAGGTCTTTAGCTGCTTCTTTTTCTTTTTTTAAATGTTTGAGGTAATACAGTTGTGCCCTCGTTTGATCAGGTCCTCAGAGGCTGATGGTTTCTCTCTCTTTCTCTCTTTCCTGTTTACCTTTCTGGGTTTCGTTTCTTTCCAAGCTTTTGTCCACTGGGCAGGTTGAAGGCCCGGCGACTTTAGGCCATCCTGTTCCAAGACCGGCGCCCGTGTCGAGGGATGGAGGAGAAGACATCTCACTCTCCACCCCCACTTCATTCCTTGATCGGTCCAATAATGAATGATCTCCAATTGCTGGCTGGGGCAATCACACCCCAACCTCCGAGATCACCATGTCACGTTCTGCGTCACTTGCGAATCGCTCGCACGCTTCAAGAGTTCTCTGTCCAAAAATTTAAAAGGAAAAAAAGCTCCCATACTTCCAGGACTCTGTCTTCTCCCTATTTCTGTCTCTTCCGTCTCCATTTTCTCGCCAAAGTCATCACCACCATCGCCGTTAGCATTATTTTCTTTTAAAAATAACATACATTGCTGCTAAAATAATTTCTTTCTTCTTTAAATTAATTTTTTTTCTCTTTCTTTCTTTTCTTTTGCCCCCCCCCCCCCCAATTCATCCGTTTGTTCTTCGGATGTGTTCCATCCTGTGTTTTGGACTTTCCCACACTTTTCCTGTCAGCCGCTCCAATTTTTACCCAAACACTGTCCGTCTCTCTGCCTTTTGTTTTCCCCCTCCCCTTTCTCTTTCTCTCTTCTCCTTTTAAAATGCTTAAGAAAATATTCTAATGGCCTGGGTGGCCGTTGCATGGCAAACAGGGCATTCCGGGTCGGTCCGCTCACAGATCCGCACAGCGCACTCCATGCAGAAGAGGTTATGGCCGCACGGGACTAAGGCGGCGGTCACTTCGCTTTCGAAGCACACCATGCACTCCCGGCTGCTCGAGAGGGACGTCCGGGCAGCGGCGGAAGCGCCCAATTTGGAAAATCCTTGCAAGGAGGACTCAGCCTGAGATCTTCTGGGAAGCCCGGAGAGAGGCGGTTCTTGGATGGAGGAGGATGGGGAGCGATGAGAACTGGGGTGCAGAGCGCCGGCATTGCTGGACCGTTGCTGCTTGGAGAAGAGGACAGACACAGGGTTGGTGTTCTCCTGCCCTGCCCACAGGGGAGTCCCGGATTCGGGGACCCCGTAATACAGATCTTGCTTGTTGACGCCGTAATTAGGGAAGAGGTAACTGTAATTGAAGTCGTTTTGGTCGTTGAGCCGGGGCGTCTCGTAGGCGGGGTCCACGGAGCAGTCGCCGATGCACCCCAAGCTGTTCTGGCGGAAGGTGGAGAGGGGTTTGCAGCCGGGCGCCGGAGTGTGGACGCGCCAGGCGTCCGAGTAACGGTTCTCCATGCCTGAGTCGGGGCTGCTGGACAGGAAGTCGTTCTCGTTGTTATATTCGAGGATCTTGCCCGTCCGGACGGCGATGTGGGTTTCGATTTCCTCCCGGGCTCGCTCCACGTTGCCCGGGGCCCCCGTGATCTCAAAGACAGGATCCCGGTCTCTGCTCGGGGTGATGATGTAGGTGTTGGTCTGCTGCTGGATCCTCTTGATGGTGGCTCCTTTTGGCCCGACCACTAAACCCACCACCCGGTAAGGGACTCGCACCCGGATGGTGACCTGACCCGGCAAGGTGGGGGCACTGCCGAAAGAGCTTCCCGCTTTGTTACGCGAGGCCCGGATCATGGAGAAATGTTCCGCAGCAGAAATGATCTCTCTCCTCGCCATGGCAACGTCTTCCCGCCTCCCAGTCACCATAAAAACTGGCTCCTCGCCACGGACGGGCGTCTTGATGTAGGTGTTGGTCTTGGCCCTCAGCGCTTTGATTTTGCAACCTTTTGGTGGGAAAAAAAGACAAAGGAGAGAAACAGGAGACAGATTAGTAGATCAGGCCCAACTCTGCAACTACTGAGGCTGCGTACATTGCAGCGTGGCACAGAAACAGGAACCATTGCTTGTCTGGACTACAACTTCCATGATCCCCTGCTAGCATGGCCTCTAGTCATAACCTCCTTTCCCCAAGCTCCACATTTTGGGAACTGTAGCTCCGGGTGGGCAGGGAGAATTCATGTACACAGAAACATAGGCTCCAGAAAGGTGTGGAAACACATATTATCAGCCAGAATTGTCAAAAGCCAAGCTGGCTGAGCAAATCTTGGGAGGTGTTTCCTACCTCTTGTGGAACTCTCTGCCACAAGATGTGACATATTCATTAATATGGAAGGGGTGAAGAACATGCTACACCGGACCAAAGGTTCCCGCTTTGTCAGCATGTCATTTCTCAAGGTGAATTTTGGGTAAACTGCACAAAGAGCACAAAACCGAAGGGATCCCTCCTGCCGTTACTGGGTCATCAGCAATCAGCATTCAAAGAAAAACTGCTCCTGGCCATGAAGGTTCTGCATTGCTACCATGGGATTAAGCAAATTCACAGAAGACATCTAACTTGGTGGCTATTAGCCGCAACAGCTACATCTGTTCAGAAATGGTATACAGTACATATCACTCACTCTCCTGCCCCCAAAAAGCCAAAACCAGACCAATTAATTAGCATTAATCATTCTTAGGAAATGTTTAGAAGCTGCCAGCAATAGCAATAGTGATATTCATTATCAACAAATTACCTTCACTGTGGGAGGCCTTGGGGGTGATGACAGGAATACTATCTTCTACCTTATGATGTGGCCAGGATTTCCCCCCCCCCCATGTTGTTTTTAAAACTCAGAAGCAAGAGTTCAGGGCTGTAGGCTAAGAGCTCACATTTCTCCACAGATAACCTTATACTAGACACACTGAAAATCGAGCTTAACCCTTGTTACCAAAAGACCACTTTCGAAGGCGAATCAAAACGGATGTTATTTCCTTCCCACATTTCATGGGGAATAAGACTGAATTCACCCCCAAAACTGGACATATGTTTTTTGACATCCTGCTGAATAAACAGGCAAAGCTGGCGATAGGTTTGCGGTTAGCTTTGGAGGATGCAAAAGGCTAGGCAGCTATGGGGGGGGGGGCTGTCCCACTCTCCACCCTGCTGGCGTGTTCAGAGAGCCTGCATGGAAAGAATCAATGCCGAGAGGCGGGGGAATCTGCATTGTGAAGACCTGCCATCGTCCGGGGCCTAATTATGAAACAAAAAAGGGTGGAAACGCCATCCACTGGTTTACTGCCTGCTCTCAACCACCACCACCACCACCCTGTGGGTTTGGCTAAGATGGGGATAAAACTCGGTTTGATGGTTGTGGATGGGGCTTAAAGCAGGGAGGAGAAAAAGAGAACCTTATGGCAAGAGGAAAGGTGAAACAAAGGGGTCATGGAGATGGAGAGACAAAGGAAAGGAGGGGCAGCCGGGTGTGGGGGGGGCGGGGAACAGCCCTTGCTGGGAGCAGATGGAAGTAAACCCCGGCATAATTGGGTCGTCCAAGCCTAAGAGAGGTGGGAGGGGGTGGACTAGGGAAAGAGGGCTGAGGGTTCAGAGAGAAAGGATGCAGGGGAGAAAAGGGAGTGTGGGGAGGGAGGGCGGGATGCCCCACCAGTGAGCGAAAGGGACAACAGGCCAGGGGAAAGCGGAGAAAGAGGAAAGGGCGGACAAAGGAGAAAGAGGGAGGAGGGGGGGATCAAGCCAAGGTAAGGCTGGGGTCTGGCGCAGGAAAAGGACAAAGAGAGGGCCAGCCAGTGGAGAGACACGGACGGATGGGAGGGGACCTGGGTCTGAAATTGATGACAAGTTGCACGATGGGTGTGTATGTGTGTGAGTTGCACACCCTGGCATGGAGGAGGCGGGGAGGGGGAGAGCCTCCGAGAACCTCCCTGCAGGATTCGCTCCGTTCTCCCACCGACCCATCCTTGAGCGGTGGCGAACTGAAGGCCAAGTGGAGAAACAAAAGCACACGCTTGGCCTTAGCATCAGCTTTTTCCCAGGAAGAAGTCCTCTAAAAATGCCAGCTTCTTAAGGCTCTCTCCATGAATCTAGAAAGCTGGGGGCACTTTTATGCCCATAAAACCTTTCTGTCTTTAAGACTCTATGAGACTTCGTGGTGAAGATGGAGAGAGCTCCAGAGTCCTGACCCCCATCAAGGAAGCTGGGGGGGGGGCACTTTGGAAGCAGGAGGATGTCCAAAATGACCATAAAGGCTGGGGACTTTAGGCCCCTTTCTTGGGATCCAGCCAAGAGGCTAACTGGAAGAGCTTTGCATGGAGGGTGGGATTTGGGGATTTGTCTCCTCCTAGGAAGGGCGAGCTAGAATCTGGGCTTGTTTTGTTCCTTTGTCTCTGAGGCCCGCTCCTCCTCTGGAGCAGGACAAGAGCAAAGGGGGACGTCTTGAACCCCTGAGCCAGGGGGTCCTTTTTCCTTTTCTGAATCAGACCCGTGCATTTTAGGGCACTGGGGCAGGGCCACGTCCGCGCAGGGGAAATTCTGCCGTCATGTCAAGCAGGGCCTGATTTTAATGTTTTGGAGCAAAAGGATAGACAGAAATGCAGGTGTGCAACCGAAAACAATGAATCATGGCTTTTTGGGCCGGTATGATTCGATCTGAAGTTACAGAACTAAAGCATTAGAAGATGCGGAGACACTGGTTGTTCTGTTCCACTGACCAAAACCTAGGACCTGCTCAAAAGTTACACTCCAGAGATGCTGGAAGAGGAAAACCATTCCAATAGAACAGCTCCAATACAGTCCACTAAGCAAGTGAATAAAGCTTTATATCTTGATTAGTTGCAGTTCTTGAAGACAGAATACATTGTGAAGGGTCCATATTGCCAATGACTCCTGCCTCCATCTTTTGCAGGTTTTAAGTATTTCCTCTCTTTATTCTATTTTTTTTTTAAAAAGGGGTCTTCCAGAATTAGTAGAGATATCTTGTTGGTGTGCCTCACAAAGGTGTATACACACATTCTGATAATTGCATACGCATGAACATGACTCACTAGTTGGAGCTGTTTTATAATTACCAGTAGATTAACTGTGAGATGTAACATGTTGCTGGACTGTTATACATCTTTGAAAAACAAAGCATTATGACAGCAGGCGGAAAAGTGTAATATAGTAAGATCCTAGATATGAGAACAGGTGTTATAACTACACAATTATATTTCTGCTTTTATCCGGGATGGATTGAAGGCATATACACTATATACGACACATAGAACTTGCACACTTCTTTATAAAAAGAGTAATTCATTATTGTGAATAGCATGATTTTGATCATGTTTCTTTTTCATTGCTTTCTGGAAGTATACCCCTTGAGATTGATAAAGAGAATTGCATAAAACATGAAAAATTCAGCTCCAAAGGCCCTCAAAATACACTCCCTTTTGTTCCTCCTAATTGTGTTACTTTGAGACATTTCTTTATTATGCCTTATTTTTTAAAAAGAGAGTAATTCGTTACAGATAACTAACTACATGATTGGTGACTCATTACCCCCCAAGTTCTGAACAGAGAATCAAGACCAATTCGAAAAAATAATTATGGGCCATCAAGCTGATGCCAACTTATGATGACCCTGATTGGCTTTCCTTGGTATAAAATACCTGGGTCAAAAATCAAGATTGCAAACTGTGATACCAGTAGATAAGTAAAACCTTCATGCACCAAGCCCCATGTCACTGCAGGACTTCAGACTATAACCCATTGGGGATTGTAGAAATTTGTGCCCTGCCTGATTTGATCAGAACAAGATCTGAAACAATTTGCAACTTCACTAATTCGATGCATGGACTTGTAAAACCAAATAGCTATTGCTTTTTCATTTTGGACTGACTTATATAGAATTTGGGACACGACAGATTCTGACAAAGAGTCCACCTCGGACAGCGCACACTTCAGGGTACTAAGCGCCTAGAATAGTTTATTTTTTAAAATCAAGAAATGTCAAGGCTGAAGTGACGTGTGCCCTGTTCAATTCGATTTTGTGCTGGGGATCAAGTGATTTGCAAATCCACCTTCCCTCACCCCAGAACTCAAGGTGGCCCTTCTGCTTTTAGCTAGAACTCATAAAAATCAGTCCCAAACAGGCCAACTCAGTGCAGAGTCTGAGATGTGTCTGAAACCGGTTCACACTCTACTTCTGATTCGTCTAAACAGCTGTGCAGTAAGAGAACAAAAGAAATAGTGAGGGTTTTTTTTCCCTTGGGTAGGCAGTTCCGAGATTTGGCTGCCACTATGGTAAAACCCTGCCCTGAAGGGCGACATGAAAGGAAGCACTTCATAAGATGCAAAAACTACAACCCACTGAGAAGATATCTGAGTAATTGTTCAGAAAGGCACAAGCAACTCCTCCAATCCTTCTAATTTTAAAAGTCCGGGCAAGAAGGGAGACACTCTGGTATTTTTGTGCAAGGACGAAAGTAGTGAACGCGCTTCTTGATCCTGACACAAAATGTCTTGCTGTCTGATGGCTGAGGAGAACAATGCTGTAGTTTGTCTTTGTTGTGCTGAAGGAAGACTAAGATAATCAAGGGTTTCCCTTTCTGCCCTGTGCATGCTAGGGTGGTCCTCTCAAGGCTGAATACTTAACTGCAGCACTGATGCAGATTTTCTTTTTTTAAAACAGACTTTAAAGACGACCCGTGGAGGGCAAGGCGACCGCCCGCCTGTATCTCTGGGGCTGACTGCATTGCCCATGGATGTTAAAAACAGCACCACCCTCAGCAGCAGTGGCTGGAGCCAGATATGGCCCCGTCACCAGCGAAAGATCACAATATAGCACAAGGTGGGTGTGTCGCGGTGGGATGGCCGCCTCAGACACGTGCTTTCTCCGAGCGCTCTTGGGAAGATAGGGGAGAAAGCTGAGAAGCAGGCTCCGGCAGGTGCGAGCCAAAGGCGTCCGGAGACAAAGGCCTCGGACGGGCACGAAGGGAGAAGAGGGTTGAAGGAAACGGGCGCCTTGCCACGCCGTTTCCGACTGCCCTAGATTCCCTGCCAGTGGATCTGCAGCGGGGTCGTTCAGAGATGGCACAGAAATGCAGAATTTCTCTAGAAATCCCCCATGCACCATCAGTGGCTGGTCCTCCCTGCTTCTCTGCCCCCGTTTCCCAGTCTTACTTGCTGTATATAGTTTTATTAATTTATTTTATTTACCCTCATCGGGTTTTTTGCTCACCTCTATAGGAGAGCCCCCCCTTTATTTACTGGGGCTTCAAATGCACTGCAGCCCAACTGAAACCATAGAGCGGGTTGTGCCAACGCAACGGGGAAGCGGTCCTTGGGCCACTTCTAAGCTGAAAAGGGTTGCCACGGCACCTTAACAGGGCCACCATCATCCTCACAGAGGATATGGACCTAATCAGATCTTGGCTGCACACTGTGATTTCTGCAAAAATGCCAGTGTCCTGTAGGTCCAGCTGCTTTCTATTTGTTTCCGCCTTTTGAAGGCACATTTATTTATGGAAAATATTTTTAACCCGCCTTTCTCCTGCACGGGATCCCAAGGCAGCTCACAACAATTAAAAGAAAGTATTCAGTATGCAACTTTGTAACATGATACTAAAGTACACAATACTAAAGGGATCTATGAATACAAGACTAACTCTTGGGTTTTAAATATAGGCTCCAAAGTGTGCGGTTAAATCTCTAATGCTCGTTGGAGTCCCGGAATAAAACTTCAAAGGGATCTGATGTGGGGGAGCCTTCAGGGTCTTCCATAATTCCTCCTGACCCACCCACCCCCAAATGAAGAAGAAACGAAGGACACAAACAGGAAAATGATGAGGCAAAATGATTGTGTGATTTGCATAATCAAGTCAGTTGGTAGAATCTCTCTTTTCTTGACCCCGAACTGCAGTGTGGGGCTGAATTTTGAGAGATATAATGGAGGTACACACTGAGAGATACTTCTATACAAATATCTATTGATCTACCTCATGGGCGAACCCATGAACTCCCCAAATAATATTTTCAATGACCCTAACAATTCATGGTTGATGTTGTTTGTAAAGCCCAGATTGTCCGTTTTTCAAGTGGTTCAGGATCTTTTTCTTCCCTCCACCAATAAATAAACAAATAAACAAACAAACAAACAAATAAATAAATAAATACAGTTATATACCAAGCGATAAAAGCCTTTTATATCCTTCAGATGGGGTTGTCAGCTAACGAGCAGTCATAGCCCAGCTGAGAGAAACCTTGATTTCCCTCCCTTCTGTTAGAATTGTATAATATACCAAACGATAAACGCCTTTTATATCCTTCAGATGGGGTAGTCAGCTAACGAGCAGTCATACCCTAGCTGAGAGATTTCCCTCCCTTCTGTTAGAATTGTATAAACTAGGGTTTTTATATAATAGTTTGTTTTTACTGTATTGACGCCTGATGTCTATGGATCTCTTTACACTTTTTCTTCATCATCCATGAAGACCTAGGTTTTTTTTTTACTCAAGAGTGGGTCATTTGGGCAATTCTGGAGCCAAAAAGTCTATTTGGAGTTTCCACTTTTGAAATTCATTCTCCCTTTTGGAAAACAGGCAATTGTTAGGGCCAAACTGGATAGGGGGACCTTCTTATTTAACTCTTTAAAAAGTGAATGATTGTTCCATTTTGAAGGCTTCCTGAAGAAGCAACATTGGATATATATTTTTTCATATATATATATATTTCAGGGGAAGTTGGGGGGGGCATCATCCAGCATTCCAGAGACATTTTGGAGGCCATAAAAGCCACCTTGGAGGGTTTTTAAAATGGGTTTTTCCCACCCATCTATGCGTTTTTATGTCAACCCATATAAAAAAGCAATATGGCCCTTAAAATCCCCAGCATGGGCATCCTGAGGCAAATTTTGGTGAGAAATGGGAGTTGGTCTGGAACCTTCTGGAAGAGAATATTTAAAGACCTTTATAGAGGGGGTAAAAAAACCCTAAATATTTTAATGCAGGAGGTGGCTTTCAGGCAATTCCCCCCCATTTTGCCTACAATTCCCAGCAGCCTCAGCCAGCTTAGTCTAGAGTGAAGGACTGTGGGAGTTCTAGTCTTTTTTTAAAAAAATATATTAAAAGTATAGGTGTTGAGGGAGAGGCCCAGAAAGCACTAGAGAGGTTAATTTTAGAAAAAAAATTAAATGGGAAGATATAGTGCAAACACACACATACAGCAGAGGTGGCCCAATAGATCTTCCCTCATGATTTCTCCTCAGGACTACTTGCCCTATTATGGCAGTTTTGAGGGAATATTTTGGTTTATTTTAGGTAATTTATGGATATAAGAACTGCATTTTTTAACACAAACACACACAGGGAAAAGAGCTCTCTCTCTCTCTCTCTCTGATCTTATAGAGATATGAGGCATGAAAAGCCATACGGCCCTTCAAATGCCCACCATGTCTTTCCTGAGGAGAATTTTGGCGGGAAAAGGGAGTTGGCAGCTGGAAACCTCCAGAAAGGACATTTTAAAGGCCTTTTCGCTCTGAGGAAAACTTGTGAGGGGGAAAATGTGTAAATTAAAACAGCCGCCACCAGTTCTCATTGCCCAAACATCCCCAGGACCTGAAACTATAAGGAAGAAGGGGGGAAACCCTGACATTTTTAATGCAGGGGGTGGCTTTCCAGGTGGTTTATTTACCTCTTTTGCTTACAACTCCCAACAGCATCAGACAGCTTAGTCCAGAGTGAAGGAGTGTGGGACCTGTAGTCTCTTTTATTAAAATAAAAGCCAGTTTTAGTGAGGAAAAGGCCCAGAAGGAATTGGATATGCTTATATATATACAAAAAGATACAGCATTACCCACATACAGTGAAGAAAGGAGTATGTCTCCCCTCAGGGCTACCTGGCCTGTTATAAGGTTTTTGAGGGAATATTTTGTTTACTTTGAGGTAATTTATAGGGATAAGAAGACCTCTGTGGCTCATTCACCCTGTGAGGGTCTGGGCTCGGGTTATTTTAGTGGACAAAAATTGACTCCAGAATCCCATAGCCAACATGGCTACTGGCTGGTGGTGTATTTTAGGGTTTTTTAGGGTGGTGAGAGGCAAAAATGCTTTTTCCTCCTGCAAAACAGGAACATTTCCAAGTTCCAGCTTCATTATATGAATGTTCTCCTCAGAATTCTCCTCAGTATTGGCTTCTCTCCCATTTATCCTCTCAGGGGAGGGGGGGGAGAGGTATTAGCACTTTATTGTCCTTAAAAGGATGTCAGTTCCTGGTATGCAATGTTGCAGGACTCCAACTCCCATCAGCCCCAACCCCCCTCCATAAATCCCATCACCTGGGGGGGATTCTGGGAGTTGTGGTCTGCTAAAAGCTGCTTTTTCCATCTTAGATAGATACGGAAAGGCAGCCATATGCAAAGCTGGTCCCAAGATTACAAGGTTAATAGCCAGCCACCTTTTCTCACACACACACACACACATATACACATACACACACACACACACACACACACACACACACAGAGAGAGAGAGAGAGAGAGAGAGAGAGAGAGAGAGAGAGAGATTCAAGTAGGGTGTGTCAAAACTTTTTCTCCAGTGCACAACTTAAATTTACAGAGGGAGAAAAGTGGAAGAAATCGCATTCCCCTGCCAGGAAACCCATTATCTATTGCACAAGGACTCTCTGGATCCATTGGGCGCACTCTGCATATGCTCAGAAGCACTGGTGTCCATTTTTGTGACACGGGCCCAGGCCCTGCATAGAAAGCTGGGGTTGATCCCATGCACAGATTTAAGCCTCCCGCTGGCTTCTCCCGAGCCACAGTGCCCTTGACCCCATCCATTTTGACAGCTTGGACTGGCAGCTGAGTTTTTAGGGGCCCCTCAAAATGCTGTTTTAGTACCATTCATTATGGAGCTTTTTGGTTTGGGGGTGAGATTTGGGGCCGTTTACATTTCTTGTTCAATGCACGCCACTGAGTTGGGTGGCATTAAAATGTCTGAAACAAACCAACAAACCAGCTGGGTCTCTGCACCACAGTGGGGTGGACCCTGGATCGCTTCTCCTCCACATAATCATCACACACAGATCCTGGACCCACTGAGGTCACACTACCACCACCCAGAATGGGGGAAAAAACTGATAGATAGATATGATTGATTGATTGATTGATTGGACTACAATTGGACCTACTCCTGGCTAGGAACGCAACCAGGACCTTGTTCATTAGATGCCATTTAAGAAGTATGTTGTTTCAGTTACACAAAGATAAATTGCCACAAAGGGTTCTGGCCCTATTTTGTAAAGGAAGCTGCTCCAAGGGGCCGCTGTCTGGGATTCTTTCTTCCCAAAACCTTCAAGCCCTCACAAAGGCTTCTTGCCCCCATTGCACCTTCTCAGGATGCCCCCCCCCAAAACAGTCCTCAGCAACAGCATCTTATACCAAACGGGCTCCTCACTTAGTGAGGCTTTGAGTAACCCCATTGACATCCATGGGAGTTTCACAAGCATGATTCTCTTTGCCCTCGATTCCAAAGGGGTGGTGGGTGGGTGTGACCTAAGACACCTTTGCCAAGTACACAAGCAGATTCGCACATGTGCAATGTCTTTTTCCAAGCAAAAATATAAATGTTTGCTGGCTGAGGCAAGGCTCCCCATCTCTGACGAAGCGGGCTTACAATCCTTGAAAGCTTAGGCCAAATAAATCGCATTAGTCTTCAAGGTGTCAAAGGCCCTTTGTGTTTCCTTTGGGTTCCTCTTGTAATGTGGTGGTGGAGAAGCAAACTCCACTGTTAGGCAACAACATCTAGGTTGAGGCCCACCAGGGATGCACAGAAACGTGTGAGGTTGGAGTCTCTTTATCAGGCTAATAAAGGAAAATTACTTCCTCTTTGCAAAAACAAAAAGAGGAGGGAAAACTAGCATGTCATAGGATTTTTCCCTTTATAAACAAGGGATTCTTTAAAGAGACAAAAGGGTTATTTTTGCATGTTGAACCATGAAGTTCAGAATGTGGGACACCACCTTTTCTCTTATGCCCAACCCAAATTTTTCAGTCCAGCCCAATGCACCCCTTATTTTGCATTAAATCCAAGCAGAAGGGGGAGTATGGAAAGATTATTTCATCAGAAGGCAGCGAAAATAGGGGAGGACAGATCTTAGTGGTACTGTACCAGTCAAAATGCAGTGTGCACCAGGGTTGAGAAGAATTAGGGTCCAAGATCAGCCTGAACGCAACATGGCAGTCCAATTAAAGAATTAAGAATTAAACAGATGCTTCCCTTCAGGTTATGTCTTTACTTGGTGATCTTTGAAAAACTCCACAACTCAAGGAGCCGAGGTTGTTTTTGTTTTGCTATGATTAAGGCAATAACACTGCTGAAATTGGGGTAATCCTAAATTTCCTTCAGAGGAGGGCTGTAGGGGATCCAAATGCAACTTTATTCTGTATTGTGTTTTTTTCTTTCTCCCGAAAAAGAAGTATAGGGCAGGCCTCTTGGCTATTCCTAGTGATAATCAACTCCCTTGCCCAAGTGCTTTGAAGGGCAGGCAGTGTAAGAGTGGGTGAGCCAGTCAGTATAGAGGCTTGTTACAGGCCCCCCCCCCCAGCTGATTTAAAAGGGTCTTTAGCGATGTTTAGCCATCTTTAGCATGACATATACAGCAAACCCTTCTGGCGGTGTGTTCCTCAAATAGTTGTTGCTTTGACTGATGCGGAAGAAGACCACTTAAAACAAGAGCGAAAACATTGCTGTTTTTCAACTGGCGGCTGGGATTCCTTTTTGCCAAGTTGCCCACCCTGCTTTCACGACCCATAAAATGTTTGTTTCATCGCTGCCGGTTTCTCTTCTCCACCAACCTTTGCAATCCTCTTTCCCCTCCCACCCCCCAAATCCTCTCCGAGGCCACTTGACTGGTTGTGCCATCCCAGGTTCCGGTGGGCAAAATCCAACATGGAAGGGTTGCGCCAGCGGCCAGACAAGATGCTGCTGCTGCTGTGTCCCCGGGGTTACCCTGACGCTGACCCACACTCAACAAGAGAAGGGGGTGTGCGTGATTCCAGCCTGGTTGTACAGCAGCAAGGGGCTGGCAGAAAGCAAGGCTGTTCCATAGCAGAGAGGGGTGTGTGCGGGGAGTGTGTGTGTGCACAAATTTCCTGCCACTGTTCCCAGCCACAAGACATATTTAAGCACAGACTCTAGGCTGCCTGTGCATCAAATGGGCCACTCCCTCGATCCCTCTCTTTTTTGGCTTTCCCATGGAGAGGGATCCTTTTTCTGCACCACCCGGTACCCTGAAAACTGGGAAAGAGCACAGGCCCCTTGGATGGAAGCGGCGCTGATTACGTTGCACAACCTGGATTGGTCGGCCTTCCCACAGACGCCCAACGACAGGCCCCATGGAGAACAATGAGGCCGAGAACCCTTCCTTTCTTTGTTGAGATGTGGGGATATGGCGGAGGCTTCTTCTCCCAAGGCAGACCTTAGACACCTGGGCTGCCTCCAGCGCCTGCTCCCACCTGCCAGGACTCCCTTATGTACCCCTCTTTCTTTCTCTGAGTTCCAGCATTGTTTGGGGGTTTTTTGTATTTTTTTTTTTAAAGGGGGGCGGGCAGGATGAGCAAGCAAACAAACTCAGAGATTAGGTTTTCTTTAATTTTTAAAAAGATCCCGAGAAGGTTTCGCAGACCCCCCACACACACACACACAAAGGATCTTAGGGTTACACATTTATTAGGATTGGGAACAGAAGGGAGGGCATCTCTCCCGCGCG